CTATTCTGCATTACTCTGAGAAGTCTATCATTTGAAAGTCTAATTGTTTCTTCTGTTAATAACCAACAAGCAGACTGTTTATGTAAATACTTTGTTTGATTGTTAATTAAAACTTTAAAATAAGTGTTTTGTACATCAGGCTTTATTGTATCATAGACTTTTGTTCCAAAAAACTCTCTTTTCGTGGTATTAATGAATTCAGTTGTAATTTCTTGCTCTTCATCATCAGTATGATCATTATCCGAAGAAGAATCTTCATAAGTAGAATTGTCACTGTTGATGTCTTCATCATTATCAGCAGCTAATTCAAATTCTTCACTATTGATGATATCTACTTGAGATGAGAAATTGTACATCTGAGAATTCGTATTTAAATGTTCAAATATATATGCACTTAATGAATTTAAACCAAGTACATGCTTTTGTTCTAATATGTCCAATACTTCTAAATCATTATATATTGTAACAGCTTCATCATATGCATCAGCAATTAGTTGTTCAATATCTATTTGATCGATTTCATCTTGAATTGATTTAGATAATGGTTGTCGATCATGACGATGTTTATAATGAACTGGAAAAATTAATTTGTTAGCTGATTGATCATGGAACTGTTTATACTTAATATCATTAAGCAACGATAATTTCTGCGCTCTTTGTACAAAGTCATGTACCGTAAAGTTAACAACAGTTGAGTAAATTCCACTTAATGCACGGATATTTCTGAAGATTGACTCACAAGCTTGTGAATTAAAAGTATAAATATTTAATGCTTCTAGTGGTAATTGCTTTTCTTTCACAACTAAAACTAAGAATAGTAGATTGTGAGCATTGAGTTCTACTGACATATATGCTGGCCTTGTGATAAAATATTTGCTTTTATTATTTTGAGTTGTTTGTGTTGCGTTGAATGTTTTAAATCTAATCCATGCAAACCACAACCGACATAGAAAAACCACACGCCAGGCAGATTTTAGTCCTAAAATTATAATTTCATATAATAAGAGCACTTTTTAAATGAAAACATTTATTGTATTTACAAATAAATAAGATGAATTGGAAAACTTACGCTCAGTAATTGTTGTTGCTTTTTCAACATAAGCTACTATGATCACTTTTAACATTTGAAGATAGATAAATGTTCCTTGGGTGTTTACATTCTCACTTAAAATTCGAAGAAGGCCATTGTTTGTTATTTTCAAACAGGAGTTAAAGTTTTGACGATCTTTAGGATCAATGTCGGTTTTTGTGAGACAATGATCGAATTTAGTAAATGCTGGATTGTCAATAATATCATATAGATGGTTGACTGATATAGCTTTATTACCAATACACAATTCAGCTGTTGATGATAATAAACGATTACGCCATTTAGTCACCAAATGTGTTGCATCTTGAAGAAACAGCAACAGTTGTTGTTTTCGTAAAAAAAACCAAGGCCATTGTGATGTTGTTTGTATTTTAAAAGCTAGTGGATGTTGATGAAGTTGAAGATTAGGACTAGAACCAAAGAATCCACTAATCAAACGCATTGCGTGTAAATATTTTGCATCTGCATCTATAAAAAAGAAAGAATCATTGATCATTAGTATCTGGACTAATAATATGCATTTTTTTTCTTACCAGTAGAAAAACCAATTATTCTTATTTTTCTTTGTGAAAATTGATTGAATATATCGGGTTGTGCATAACCTTTTGCTAGGGGGGTAACACTATGATTTCGAGTTGAGTACCTAATGAATTTTATACCAGATTAAAGCCCGTGAAAAACTGGATCCAGAGGTACAGTCATTATTTCGATAGATAAGGCTACCGTTTGAAATTGCGAATATGGAAGTGAATCCGTACAAATACTCAATCGTCAAAATATAGGATTCAGCATAACTTTTTGATAGAAGACTACAAAATTAATTACTAGTGGAATAGTTTTGAGTAGTGTCTCTGCTGGAACCTTTATTTTGTCTGAAAAGAAACAATACATCAGTATTTTGTGTGACCGCCATTGGCTTCATGTACAGCTTTTAATCGTCGAGGATACGATTTCAATAGATTCTCGAAAAGTTCTGTTTCATTTTCAAGCTCATGAAGAACATTTTGAAGATGTTGAAGCAGAACCACTTTAGAATTTTGATTAGCACCGTGCTCCTCGATCATCAAGCTTTCCACCTTATCCATGAGGATTGATCCAACATCTTCTGCTACGTTTAGATCGGGAGAATTTCCTGGCCATTGTGTCCGGTCAAAGAAATCAACTCCGGAATCTTTGAGTAATGCTCGAGTGGCGTTTGCTTTGTGACACGAAGCATTGTCATGAAGATAAACTACCTCTGACGGATCTAATACATTTTTGGGATCAGAAAGAAATGGAATGACATTTTCTGTCAGAATAGACCGACGATAATACGCTCCATCCCATGATGCACCATCATCCTTGATTACCCACATCAATTTGACAGCAGTGAAACAGATGTAAATTCCAATGCAATTAGGCCACGCAGAAAGCTCTTGATAACGTTCATCGTCTTGGATATCTTCCAGAGAAAACGACCATACTCTATCATTTTGATAATTGGGTCGACGAACAGCCCAAACGAAGAACTCATCACTTGGAGCAAGGTGCATAAAGTCATATTCATCCCACTGTTGCAAATAATCGCAAAACCATAACCGATCTTCAATGTTCATCGCCGACTTCATTGGCTTTGAAATCACATGAAAAGCCTTTAGCCCTTGTTTAACACGGTATCGTTGTATTGTTGATGGACTAACGACCTCTCCGCACTTCTGAAAGATCTCTTTCGCAACTCGTCTGCAGCTTCGTCGCCTTTTTCCACTGTTTTCCATCACAATCTTTTTACTTTCTTCAGATAACTTTCCTGGTCTTCCACTACCAAATTCTGTAAAACAATGTTCGTATCCCTTTTTCCAGTTGTCAGTGACCCATCTTTCACTGCGATGCAAATTTTGAGCGATCCACTTTCGGTTGATGAACGTTGCACCTTCTTCTATCACTTCGCGATAGGCGTTCGCTCGAATTCGGTCTATCACACGTTGTTCTTCGTTGTCTCCGATAACTCCAGCCATGTTACTCAAAACAATGATTATTTGAAGTTATGAATGAAAATGAAAAAGGCATGATACACATTAAGATAAAGGATGTAAGAAAAAGATAATTCCCACTATACATGACACATGTAACAAAACACAAAATACGTTTACAAGAAGAAGAAAAAGAATAATAGAAAGAAAGATAATACGGAATGAGAAAAATGTGCGGAATTTTGACGATTGAGTATTTGTACGGATTTACTTCTATATTCGCAATTTCAAATGGTAGCCTTATCTATCGACATGATGACTGTACCCCTGGATCCAGTTTTTCACGGGCTTTAATCTGGTATAAAATTCATTAGGTACTCAACTCGAAATCATAGTGTTACCCCTCTAGCAAAAGGTTATGCACAACCCGATATACCACCACCTTTGAAGTATATCATCAGCTGTAGTTGTAGTGTTAGTCCCGTATGCGGCTAATAAAAATGGACTTGGAATTACGTTCTGACTTGAAGATTGCAATGGCTGTATCATATGTACATTTAATAACGACGATTTTTCGATCGAACTAAACCATAATTTAAGTATATCAAATGAATCAGTTTTGTAATGTTCTTTAATTGGTATTCCATGAGCAAGTGTTGTAGGAAACCCAACGAAAGTGTTTGTTATTGAATCATATTTTATTTTTTTAATAACACTTGTCATGCCTTCGGAACCAAATGCATATTGAAAATTAAGATTTTTGAATTTGTTTTGAAGTTCATCAAATCGAAATTCCGCTTCAGAAATCTTCAAATTTGAATTTGAAATTAATGAATGTAACATTGTTAAATTTGGTAAAGAACCCGGTAAATTTAACCTCACAAATTCATATGTAAGCTTGCCTCCCAAAATATATAAAGACAATGCAAAATCTTTAATACTATCACTGTATCGAAAATGATTAATTGGTTTAGTTAAATTATAGATAATTGCATTAATAAATTCTTTTAATAATCGATGTTTATCATCACATATTCTATCATCTTCATCGATTAACAGATACCAATCAATTAAAGTTTTCAATAATGGATGCTTGTTGATAAATTCATAAGATAAACCAGAATATTTTTCAATTGAATCATTTTTAACATTTAGGTTTTGTTGTTGTTGTTTCAAAAAGTCTAACAGATAGTTTAAATTATTTAATAATCCAACTATCACAATATATTTTCCATTATCAAGTTGAAACATGATCTTTCTCTGATTGTTAAAAAATCAGGTTCAGAACAATTCATATTGAAAATCTCAAACACATTCGGGTTTCGAATGAGAGATTGTGTAGAAGTAATTGATTGAAAACATAAAATATCAACAAGTTGTTGTCCAACTAGTCCATTAACAAAATTATAAAAATCATCATTTTTTAAATGACATACATTTTCAATAATATTATGGCCTATTGAACGAAAAATTTTACCGTTTTGTTTTGCTGCGTATTCTTAAAAAAAATTGAAAAAAAATTGGATAAATAATAAATTTATAAAATTCGTTCAAATATTAAGATCTAAATAAATATTTTTGACAAATAAATGTTATATAATAGGTTTAAGTGGTCGAATGATGAATCAATAGTATGACGAGAAAAAATTAATGATTTTAATGATGATATATGTCGCTCACGATCGTTAAATATTAAGTATCATAGAAAAGATGACAATTATACAATCGATATTGGTTCCCTGTATTTGTGAATCATCACAAATCACAATGATAAATGACTCTTTTAACTCTTTATTTTTTACTCTTCATATCAACCGATTCGATTAGTTTAGTAATTACTAAAGATGTTTGATCTAAATATTCTCACTAATACATCAAAATTCCCGTCCAATGTACTGACACTACGTGATGATGATTTTCTCAATTTTGTTCGACAAGAAGCCAGTGAAGATGTTGCTGATTTGCTTGAAGCACAAAGTATCAACTGCACTAAATCATTACTAATGGCATCAGATGTTTTCTCTGTTATGAATATCAAAAGTAAAAGTTTAGATGCTCTTAAAAAGAAAATTGGTTATTTGCAAGATGATGATACATATGTTGTCAAGCCAGGTGTAAGAGGCAATGTGGATCATCTTATTGATTTGCTTCAACGTAAATGTATTGAAGATGCAAAATTAGCAAAGTCTTCAAAACACGTTCAATCATCATCTGCAGCATTATCTTTAAATAGAACAACAGAAGAACAATCAACAGCAACAACAATATCTAATGTTTTATTGAATAATTCATCAGATACCTCAACAATTCCAAGATTATATTTATCAAATGATGAACATAATAAATATATTATTGATGCAATAAATTCCTGGTGTGAAAATAATAAATCAATATTTAATTTAAAAGATTTTACTTTAATTGAAGGACAACATTTTTTTATCTCTATCTTGAATCGACCAGATGATACACCTGGTAAAATAAAATGCTGTTGTGGTAAAATAATATCATTAGCTCTCAGA